TGACGTATCCACCACCAATCAAAATTGATGAACGCAAAGTTGTAGAAAACACAAGATTGATTATCTTTGAATGCGATAGCATTTATCGTTGCACACACAGGTAGGTGTTCGGTTCTCCGCTAAGTTTAGCGGGCAATTTGAATATGTCCATAGGTCACGTGACGTCAATTTCCCCGCTACATTTAGCGGAAACCTAAATGGGTGCAAATGTTACGTGAAGTCCATTTTCCGCTCAAGTAAGCGGGGATACGGAATTGGTGCATAGCTAAGGTTACGTCAGGCCCAGGAGCATTACAAGATCAGCAGGTTAGGACACGTTTTGATTGTGGGTCTCGCAGACAGGCTTTCACGTCTTGTGAATAAGCGGGAGTCTATATGTTTAGCTAACGCACTCCACTATTAAAGACGAAGCTGAAGTGTCGTCCTGTAATTTTAGTCGTTTCTCTTCACATGGTTGACAAACGATTGTTGAGTTAAAGGGGCACTGACACCCCAAAGGTCGTATTTATCTTTATTGTCTAAAACGATCCAAGTTGCAGTCCTAGACACGCAAAAAAAACCGCATCGCGAAAAAAAACTTCCCCGCGCGCGCGCGCGCCTTTTTATTTTTGGCGTTTGATTCTCCCCCCCTCGCCTCCTGGCTTCTTTTGATTCGTGACGTCAAGAATCATGAAATTTAGAAGCTTTGTAGGCGACATCTTTATAACATTTAATAACGGCAATCCTAAAACATGTTTTTAACGCAATTGCGAACGCACTACGGCCCTTCTTTTTGAAATACCAAAAATCGGGAGTTCGTTGTGGTGCCGTCTCCTGGATTTGTATCCTCCAACGGAAAACAGGCGACACCGCTCAAAACCGGTCCGCCGCAACGCCGGCGCTCGCTCCTTTCCTCCTCGCTTTGGGTCGCCATGGCAACAGCAGGGAGTGGTGAAAGAAAGTGGACTCTCAGGACTTCGCAATATTTGACGTCAAGGCACCGGCGCCGATCGCGCGGGAACTTCGAATTCAGCATTTGGAAATTGTTTTTTTACTTCACAAATACTGAATTCCCAAATTTTCAAATTTTGAGGGTAATGTCCCGGCATCGTTTTCAATCGTTTCGGATAATGATAAAAAAATATGATTTTGATGTGTCAGTGCCCCTTTAAGGCCGACTTCGGTACATTTTTAGATCACCCGTGTGTGCTTGGCTAAATATAGAATAAGAAGAGCTAATAGTCTTGATTGCGGGAACTTATCATCAAACACACGGAAAAGTATGAATGAACAAGCCTACCGAGTTAGGGTTGCCCATTATAATCTGGTGGTTTCAACCGCAGTTGATTTCACCCTTGTCAAAGAAGGTCTCTATAATAGGCGCTGAATTCAGCGTTACCTCTGGGAGAGCCGGTTAAGCGGGGACTGGCAATAAAAATTTACAGCCGCTGAAACCTTAATAATGGGTGATATATTTTTCGCATAGATAGCGCTGTAGCCGTTCTATGACACGCGCTCACCTACGCGTTTTCCTATCCCACGGGACTGTACATGCGAGGTTCTCTAGTGAGTCACATCACGTGATCAAACACAGAGCAAGGCCAAGGACGCGTTCCACACCTAGCACGCGCAACGAGGCTGCTCTGAGCTCTCAGCGTTCCTTCCAAGCCTCCGCACTCTTTTTATGTTTTCATTTTGGTGAGCATTATGAACAGGGTCGTTTATGAGGAAGCTGAAATGTAGTACGACTCCTTCATCAGCTTCGTTCAGGTACAGTGCTCGCCAAACTTAACGCAGCGACTAAGTTCCCACACATTGAGCTCGTGTCGGCTGCTTACTGTTAAATTTGTCACCAAAACGTTCGGGATGCTTTCTCAGGCTGGGATAGAAATCGGGAACCCAAACATTCTTCAGATAGTTCAATCGGCCGCCACAGGGACTGTCAGAAACGGCAAATGCAGTGGCGGCGTTAAGTTTGAGGCGCACTGTACGTATCGTTGCCAGAGGTAAGGTGCAATGGGTTGCTGCTGCGCCAAATACGGCGGCGGTATACGATGGCTACCTCGGTCGGCGCTACATTACATCTTGTCTTACCACTCTCTTTGCTACGGGAGTAAGTTCAATCGGCAAATTTTATTATAACATTATTGTTTTTCAATTGAGCGAATAACTGGATCTTCCACAGAACCTTTTTCTAGCCACGCCAATCAAAAAATACTAGGCCTCAAATTAAAACAAACTTTCTGGATCTTTACGTAGCTGTGTAAAACATACGCCGTGAAAACAAATACCATGTTGTTTTGTTTTTTTTTTTTGTTCTTTTTTTTTTGTGTCTGCTATAACGTCACCTTGTGCTCCAGGACTGGAAGGCCACGTCACCGTCGGGCCTCTCGTCTGCTGCTTTACTGACTCATTGGCTGTGACCCCTGGAAATTCGTTGAGAGATTAATGCAGAGTAGAATTTAAAACGCGAAATACGCCTTTTATTTCGGCTTTTTTAAATTCTTGTATCTGTAAGTTGAAGTAGACAGTGCTAAGCTAATGCGGACTCGCGTAAAAAGTGTTTTTCTCTGCTTTACTTGGCACGCCGTCATTCACGCCTCTATTAACTGCACAAATAAATGTGATTTAGTTTAAAAGAAAAGCGATAATATTATTATTATACCATTAATACATACCATATAAATATATATATATATGTTGTCTTAAATTTATTATTATTATTATCCTTGACATTCCAGCCAAATAACATATATATCACTTTCATAATCGTTAGTAGTCTCCAAAGAAGAAATAATATAAAATATACCAGAAAACATGGGGGGAGAGGATAATTATTCAATTTTAAAGCGAAGCTCTTAGGCGTCCGTTTCCGGGTTGGGCGGTATTGCCGTCGGCGTCGCCGCCGGCATAACTGCCCACTTTGCATGATGGGAAACGTACCCACTAAATTTAGCGGAAAAACATTTTCCGATCAATTTAGCGGGTGAATTTGAGTGCTAAATTTAGCAAAAAACGTCTCCCGCTAAATTTAGCGAGAAAATTTTCCCGCTGAATTTAACGGGAAATGGTTCCGCTAAATTTAGCGTGGAAACATAACCCGCTCAGTTTAGCGGGTAAAGTTCCGCCGCGAAAATGACCGGAAAGACTTTTCCGCTAAATTTGGGGCAAATACGTGTTCGCTAAATTTAGCCAGTGGTGTCGGTGTGATCGCGCGCATTGTATCATATAAATTTTGCACGCTAAATTTATCAAACAATTTTTCCGCTAAATTTGACGGATAAATTTCCCGCTAAAATTAGGGGAACATATTCCCCACTAAATTTAGCGGGTATCCCAGGTAGCACACTGCGTCGGCCAGTATCTGGACTTCGCCAGCCAGTCCTGCATGCATGGTAACAGGATGGTGGCGCCCGGATATTGGCGCCGGTGAGCCACCGGCCCCGAACGACGTCGGGGTCTCGTCTTTCTCACTGGCCAGTTCAGCCCTGGACGTTACAGTGACTGGCCGGCATCGGGTTTTTGCTGTCTTTGCTGGCCAGTCTACCCTCCTTTCAGTACCCTTCCCTCCTCCTCCTCAAGAGCTGCGCTCCGATTCGGCGTTACAGGGAGTTGTAAACGGCTTTCACTTTTTCCGCTAGATTTAGCGGGGAAAATTTTCCGCTAAATGTAGCAGGGAAATTTTTCCGCTAGATTTACCGGGGAAATTTTTCCGCTAGATTTAGTGGGGAAAATTTTCCGCTACATTTAGCGGGGGAATTTTTCCGCTAAATTTAGCAGGGAAATTTTTCCGCTAGATTTAGCGGGGAAATTTTTCTGCTAAATTCAGCGGAGAAAATGTTCCGCTAGATTTAGCGGGGAAAGATTTCTGCTAAATTTAGCGGGGAGATTTTTTCGCTAGCTTTTGCGGGGAAATTTTTCCGCTAGATTTACCGGGGAAATATTTTTCCTAGATTTAGGGGGGAAGTTTTTCCGCTAAATAAAGCGGGAAAATTTTTCCGCTAGATTTAGCGGAGCAATTTTTCCGCTAGATTTAGCGGGGAAATTTGTCCGCTAGATTTACAGGGGAAATTTTTCCGCAAAATTTAGCGGGGAAATTTTTCGGCTAGATTAAGCGGGAAAATTTCTCCGCTCGATTTAGCGGGGAAATCTTTCCGCTAGATTTAGCGAAATGCACAGCGTGCCCGCACCCCGCAGGCCGCATCACACGCGAAACTAGGTCCGGTCTTCGCGACGCAGGCATTCCGAGTTTGTAACGGCTAATGCGTCACCCGTCAAGCCACGTGATCACGCTTCTGTCGTCACCCGCGCACAGAGAGCGGATTCAAGCGATAAAACGTGTACGGTTCATTGGTCCGGCGAGTACGCACCGTCTACCGCGCCTTCAGCTTAGGGAGAGAGGAAAAAAGAGAAGGAGGACAAAGCAAGCAGGCCAGAACGGGGGTGGGGTGCGCTTACAAAGGTTAATCTTCAGGGGCATCTCAACAATGAACGCAGCGAGAGAATTTGTCACTTCTACCCAAGGTTGATAGTGCAGTAGATGTTATGCGTGACCTTGGGCTTTAGGCAGGTTCCGTGCTCTGCCTTATCACCAGCTTCGAGACTGTAGTCACGTGACCCTAACCGGAGACACGATTGGCCTTAAACACGCATAACGTCTACCCTGCTGTCAATACCGATTTAACAGGACAGCTCTTTGAAGGTCAGCTTTTGAAGTTCTAAAGAAGCTCTCCAGCCCAAAAGTGGTTCTAAACGGGGCAAGCTTGAAGACGGTATGTTTTACGTCGTATAACCCACATCATAATAGACCCTTTCCGAAATTCTTCGCCATCTAGCGGCGGCGTTTCAAAACTACGCGCGAGCGCTGTTGGCCACCGTCGGCGGCCATTCGTATGGCGGGTCAGTGATCGGGTGCTCGCGTAAGCCTGGTCTTGGTCTGGCCGCCTTCCTTTGTTTTTCCTTTCCTACTGCAACACTGTGACTGCCGCTGCTGCGACGAACGCTGCTCGGGGTCTCGGAAGATGCCTTTACATTGTTGCGTGCCCCTCTGCAAGCAGAGAGGTGTAAAAGATAATAACGGAAACAAGGTGAGACTTCTTGTTTTGCTATTAAGTAGAAACAGCATGCAAGCGATTTGGCGACCAACGGAAGAGAGAAGCGTGAGACATGCGACGGCGACCGGCTTCGCTGTCGTCGGTCATTCGCGCGACGGGAGCAAGCGAACAAGGCGATGAGCGACGTTTTCTAGAAATGCGAGAACCGAGCGACGCTACGGGCGACAGTGAGAAATTTCCGTCGCTCATCGATGATTCTCGTCGCTGTCGCCGACGCTCGTCTCATCGCTCGCGAATTCGATTACATGCGGTTCGGCCTAATCTTTAAAGCGCGAGGTTGTAACTTTAGGTCTATGTGGACGAAAGAGAAAACACGAGCTAACAGCGCCTATGCTTGGGAGTATAAAGTGCGCCACATTGAAAGGATACGAATTTTTGAGCGGTAGCCTGCGAGCTTACGCTTCGCAGCCCATCTCTGTTTTCGACACTTCCCCAGAGCTTAAGAAGAATACGAATTTTGAAGAGTCTAGGTTGTCTGCGGGTGGTGTGACAGGCCCGTTCAAAATTCCGTGATCGCGCATTCGCTTCAACCGTGTTTATGAGTATGATCGTGACATGATCTGATTTGGCGAACCCTATTCTGTTTATCTTTCCAGGTATCATTTTTTGCTTTCCCGAAAGAGCCGACTGTGCGCAAGAAATGGGTGATTGCCATTAAACGGGACGAAGGCAAACTATTCACCATCACAAAATACACAAAGGTGTGTTCACTACATTTTCAAGAGAAGGATTATCTCATCAATATCGCCTCAGGTTTCCGTTTCTTGAAGGAAAGAGTCGCACCGAGCGTGTTTGGATTTAACGCCGCCAAGAAGCCTCCTAGGAGAGCGCCCCTTCAAAGAGTGCAAGCTACGAGCAAGCTGACCGCTGCTGACGAAGACGCAACAGATTCATATTAAAAATAGCGCAAAAGAGACGGGACAAAAAGACGAAGAAGCACACAGGACAAACGCTAACTGGCAACTAAACTTTATTGAAAGCTTCCAACTTTGCTATCGCCATGCACGTGCTTAGTCTCGTTCAACAGAGACAGGGCGTACCGCCAAATCCGCACAATCATACCGCCCACCGCCCTTTCCAAAAAGTCAGCAAAACAGCTACATCACCCCGCCGCACAATCCGAACGAGAAAAGAATAGAAAAAACGCCGCGTTAATATTGTCAAGTTAGATAGTGTTAATGAAATGGTACTCTTTCTGCTGCATATACACCGATGCGACGCTTATGCAAACGTCTTTGTCACAATCACGTATTTTCACTGCCTCCAGCAACTCTCGTTCCCTCCTTCCTTTGTTTCGTCCCTCCACCTTCGCACCGTCCAGCTTGGGGGAACAACCACAAGTTCTACAATGCCCCGGTAAGTGGGAACCGTAATTGTTGCCAAGAGAAGCCGCATGCTCTCGAAGCAAACGAAGCAAGCTCTGTACAAAACTCAAAGACAGCTTGAACTTGCTCTGGCAAAATGCGATACACTTGAGGCAAAGTCAAGTCGTAGATTTTGTATAGATTCTTTTAAAGACAGTCCGGCAGACATCCAGTTTTACACCGGCCTTCCAAGTTATGGGAAGTTCATGAGCCTCTGGTCTTTCTTAAAACCTGGTGAGGATGGCGAAAATGTGAAAGTGTGGGCCACCACATACAGTGGAAAGGTCACGAAAGCTCGAAGACCTTCCATCTTGTCTTCTAAAGATCAGTTATTTTTACTGCTGGTCCGCCTACGCCTCGGGCTGTTTGAGCGAGATCTGGCATACAGGTTTCGAGTTTCAACTGCGACAGTCTCCAAGATTTGTATAACTTGGATTAGTTATTTGTATTTACACCTTGGCCAGATACCGCTGTGGCTGACCAGTGAGGAAGTAGATGACTCAATGCCACCAGCATTTAAGGATCGTTATCCAACAACAAGGGTTATCCTTGATGCCACTGAAGTCAAGTGTCAAGCTTCAAGTTCACTAGTACTGCAGTCAGCCACCTTTTCAGCTTATAAGTCAACCAATACCTTCAAGGGCCTCATTGGCATTTCCCCCGATGGAACGGTGACTTTTGTATCGGAGTTATTTACCGGCTCGATGTCAGATAATGAATGTGTCGAAACAAGTGGATTCCTGAAGCTGCGATTTAATAACAAAGATTCTGTCATGGCCGATAAGGGCTTCAGGATAGAGGACCAGTTGAAAGAGATCAATGTTGAACTGAACACACCTCCTTTCCTTCGGAAGGGTAACTTCACAACTGAAGAGGTGAAAGAAACAGAAGAAATTGCATCTCTGCGAATACACGTTGAGCGACGCATCCAACGAATCAAGGGATTTCACATCTTTGACCGGCCCGTTTCGATCTCGCTTGCCCCTGTTGTCAATGAAATGTGGTTTATTTGTGCCCTTCTCACCAACTTGCAAAGTCCCCTGATGAGGACAAGTGATGACTAACGGTCATCACTTGTCCTGTACACAAGCATTGAAATGTTAAAAGTTACTGTTTTTGCGAAGAAACATTTTTTTTTTTCAAAAAGTAAGAGTGAGAGGTTCATTTTAAAGATCATGTTTATATTGTTTTGAGTGCTCATCTGAAGAGTGAATTTTCAGTGTTAATGGTGGGCTCTTGTAAAAAATGCAATGTGCATAGAACTTTACTCCCTTGTCACTCCAAAACATTTGTTGGCACGAATAAAGCGCGAGTTTCTGAATGCTAAGGAATGCAGTGAAACAGAGTGGGCACCAATTTTTCATACTTTATCATTCCCCGGAGTGTAACCAAATGAAAACGAGGTGGACTTAGTATAGCAAAGGGTTACTTTATTTGTAAAAATTGCACTGCTGATAAATTACCGAAGCATTAAAAAAAATTAGTACATACACTGTATCACATCACGGAGTCTCAAAATTTATTTACAGAACTATGCATGCTGGTGCACACTACACTGTTCATTGCAAAGATGTTTTTACACGGGGCACAGTCAAAATGAAATGAAGGCTCATTGGCTCAACCTTGGGAAGTTTCATGAATAAATGAAGGACTGTAGAGATAAAGTAGGAAACTGCCCATACACTTCTCAAGATGGCAGTGTAAACATTGATTGAAAAGCCTCGGTAGTAAGAGCGACAGCATAAACGAAGAAGGAAAGAGAAGGCAACGGTCATATTTTCTTAGTAACTGCTTATGCTGCTACACTCATCGGAAGAAAAAAAGCATGTCCACGAAGTGGCTCTCATCCCGATTTACTTGCACCACATAAACCGACGCTTTTCGCGCTCAAATCTTGCATGATCTTATAAAATACCAAACCACTGAGTTATCTTTAGGGTTCCGTGTTTTTAGGGTTTATTTTTCTTCGAAGTCGAGGGGTGTTTTTCTGTGTTTTACTTATTTTCTAGCATTCGGTGTATATATTTAGTGCCGGGCAAGGAAAAGGCAGTTATCGGGCTTATTTTGTCAATAGGCTTAATATCTAACTGAATGACCTTTAGTACAGATTGGGTTCAAGGTCACAAAGAAAAGAAAATGCTGACAAAGGTCAAAGGTTTTCCCACTTTGAAAAGTCGGTTTTTCCTATTTAAGGACGGCTCCAGGGTTTCTGGTTTTTACCAATCAGGAAGAAACCACCTCGGGGGGGTTATTTATCAGTATTTACCGAAAAAAAAACAAAAAACGCAACCCTCGCTATGATGCACGTACAAATGCCACATAAAGGGTAGCTGATGTTTATGTTCAAAAACCCCAATTCATTTTTTTCACTCTGTATTTTCTTTGTTACTCTGTCATTTATTCTAGAGTCCATTGCAACTCAAGAAGGTAGGGCGAGGGTAAGACGGACCGGGGAGGAGGAAGCAGACGGAACGCTAAAGAGAGAAGGAGGTTCCCCCTCTCTCCTCCAGCATTCCGTCTGCTTCCTCCTCTCCGGCCCCCGTCTCACCCTCGCGCTATCTTCTTGAGTTGCAACGGACTATAGTAACCAAACTAGCATGCTGCCCTCCATTCAGTCAAGATTTCACTAATCACACCTTCGTGCTAGGTATGGCAGTAGTGTCTGAAAATAAAACTTGTTAAGCACTTCCTTGCATTCCGTCCAGTCAGAAAGAGAAAATCTAATCCTCTCCACAATCAAAAACTTCTTGCAGTAAACCACAAAATCGCCCCACATTAAGCCTGAAAGCGCCATTTGCCCCAACAGTTGGTAGTAATAGTTATGGTCGCGCCTTAATCTGTATGTTCCCGAGTCATCTTTCACCATGTAGAAGGTCTGCGAGTCAGGATCGGCCGAGTGGTACATGGTATAAGGACACTTGACTTCCAGAACTCCATGAGGGACAGGCTCCTTGGGGTCATATACAAGTCTGTCCGGAGACGCTCCCAGCCATGGCAAAGATGGATCCACCATAATGCCACAGCAGGTAGTCTGGATGCTGTGGCCACGACAACGAAGTGCTCTTTCGTAGTTCCTCACTGCATGGGGCTCGTGAGTGACACCATGCCTGCAAAAGAACAGGGCAATGAAAACATTGAAAAAAGTAATTTTCATGAATAGTTACAGAATGGACGGAGGAGATGCTCGTACCGGTTTTAAGTTCATATTAACAGTTACAACAAAACAAAAGTAATCTGCTAGGGCAGGGATTCTTTCTGTGAAGCGCTTCAGCGGTGTCCGCTGAGCTGAGCGTGGGAAAGCGGAGTGAGGCAGTTAGGTTTAACCCTATTTCTAATGAAAAGGGGCTGCTTCATAAGCCCCTGGCACTGGGCACTACAAACAGCTGGTCAAGCAACGCCCACGACCTGGCTATGCCCACACATCAATAACGGCTCCTCCTCGTAAAGTGCCGACTGCGACAGAAAAAGCGGAGCGCAAGGCTAGACTTCTCGCAACAGCGAGGGAACATCGGGCTCATCAAACCGAAGAGCAGAGATCATTGTAAGCAGTTCACCGTCGCCGCCAGGAGAGCAGTGAAGTGCGTGCCTGCGATAATAGCTGCGTTTACATGAATGCGACTTCAGCATATCGACTCCAATCGGCCTTCGAATGAAGCCAACGTGGCAATGTTTGCATGAATGTGCACCAAGCCCTACGCGAAGGTGGCGCCATGCTGTGTCGTAGCTCAAAGTTAAAGCTGTGTTTCCGGCACCGGCTGCACCACGTGACCACATTTTCCGATGCATCGCACATGAAGGCTTTTCAACACTTTCCGCAAGCGTAAAGATTGTGCCCGCCGTCTTCAATGCTGTACAAGAAGTTATGAGACGGAAGGAGCATCAAAACCCAAGTGTTTTGGGTTCCAGGTCGGACCGCTAGGTCACTCTGGATCAGAGGCGACGTACCTGTGCACGGCCTGGCGAGCGAGATCATTTGCAACCATTCTGAGGACGCCACCACGCTGCGCCTCGCCAAACCTTGCCAACCGCGACCGGACCCCGAGGCCAAAAGGCTCCGGCACAGCCAGGAACAGCGCCGAGGTAGGAGCTGCTTGTTCTGTGCTAAAATGCAGTGCTAGGAGCTCTCGGCGTCGTTCGTGCTTGCGCCGAAGCCTCTTGAAACGCCCTCGGATGCGCAAGTCGCATTTCGCAAGGCTTGGACGGGGGCCGCCCTCACCAAGCTGCTCAGCTATATTCCGCTCACTTATGATGGAAATAAAAGCTCGCGTTTCTTCTCGGGAGAAAACTGGGGGCGACCACACAGGACCGCTATCTGCCGCCGCCAGTAAGGCTGGCTACCGCCATATTCTCAGCTGTTCACTCGCTGCCGCAGCGAGCGCTTTCCCATAATCCTCCCCGTTCCAAAATGTGATGCGAGCTCCGTTTACATGGGTTAAATGAATGCGTATTTGCCATCTCGATCCACCTCTGTCTAGCGACTTGAATGTGTTGCACTTTCCTAGCGCATCATACCATTTACATAACTGCATTCAATACCACAACTGCATTTGATGCGACTAAGTCGCATTCATGTAAACGATGCTAATGAGGGTCCGAGTGTGGTGTTGCAGCTATCGCTGTGACTCTACTGTGGATTCAGACATGCCGTTTCATGTTGTACTGCAAGTATTCTTGTGCATGCATCTTTCTATCAAAAAGAGGAGTCTAGTTGAAGAGTGTGTGTTCTGAAAAGAGAAAAACTATCTTGCCCGCAAATAGTGTGTAAGCACTCACTTGACGGCTCTCACTCGAGAAAGATCTCGTTCTTCAGTGAGGTTCCGTAGCCCCACATTCGTCCACGACTCTCTGGTTGCAACGGTCCCGAATGAAGACGCCGTGAGCCTGTTGGTGCGGGCAGCCTTCCACGTTGCGCTTTTTGCTTGTGTTCGGCTGTCCTTTTCCAGTTGGCGTGCTTCTTCCGGGGTTAAAACCAAGCTCTACGTAGAAAAAGACAAGGTAATGCATAACAGGAAGGTAAATATAAAGTGAAAATGTGAAGCAAGTGGAACAATACCTGAAGAAGCGATGTACTGGTAGCATTTAGGAACTCCGTCCCGAGCTTGTAGGTGTTTGACGAGGTGAACAGCACCGGCCAGGTAGGGAGCACAGGTTTGGAGGCATCTGTGCCACACTGCACAATGTTCGGGCTGATGTATGTCTTGAATCCATGTGGAGACACTGGGTGCTGGTAAGATATTCCAGAGCCCTCGGGGACTATGCCAAACATTGAATCAGTGCCCAGCACTTGCAGGGAACGCAGATGCTTCGCAAAAGGCGAATCCTCGAGGTGGCCGAGATCGACGCCCAAAGTGTGGAGGTCCTGCTGCATGTCTGTCATGCTCCTCTTGCTTTTTCTCGCGTCGTAGAGCTTCGAAGAAAGTGCTTCGGAAGGCCCTCCTTCCCTCACGCTCCTCCAGTCCAGGTCGCTGACGCTCCCAGGATTGATCTGCGATCCCCGAGGACGACGCCACTGCTGCGGAAGTTCCGTGCATGTCACTTCCAGGGGTGCTTCCCTGTACCCTTCTTTCTTGAGAAGGGCAATCATTTGTAGCAGTGCTAAAGAATGATTGCACAAGCCTTCTTTGGCAGCGCAATGGCAGGTACTCGTCGAGACCGAGCCGTCTGCTGCGATCGTTGCAGTTGCGCGGTAGGGCTTGGATGACTTTCTCTGGCTCGCGTAGCACTGCCCGCGCGCCACGACGAAGCTCACATTCCTGTGTATAAGAAAAACAAGTTTTGAAAATGCTTATCGTACACTTTATAACGCGCAGTAGTCGCTAATGCAGAATCGACAACTTACCCGTTGTTAACTATCGCAGTTTCGAGCGACGACGGCTCAACGTAGCTTTCGGTCATGAATTTGTAACTACGTCGCCGGTTACGCTCGCTCGTCTTCCGGGCGGCGTAATACTTATTCACCTGGTCAGCAGTGAAGTTATCAGGAATCGTTGTCAAACTTTTGCTCCATAGTAGACCGGCAGCGATAGCGCCGGGCGAACTAGACGCTGCAGCGGCCGCCATACCAATGGCTGCTCCCCCCGCGCCCCCTCGATATCAGTGTTGTCTGTCGTGTTTTGAAGAAAAGCCAAGTTCAGCGGATCATGGTTGCCTGCCGCAATTTCGGAAAGGGTCTATTTAGAATGAAGAACTAAGCGCGACTATTTTTGCGCACGATGTACACAAATATATCTATAAATATATAAATATATTTTTATCAATAAATGTAAAACTGTTTTTACACTGTTCGGTTCGCGTTTTCAAACTTCAAATTTTTTTACGAAAGAGTTAGACATAAAAGACACCCTGCACAGCACATCGTCCGAATTTCAACACACGATGAATCGCCGACGCTCGCAGACAGAAGGTTGCGATGCTGCGCGAACGGTTTGTGAAAGATGCTGGGTAGGGTACTCCGAGCGCAACGGCTTCGCGACCGTTCAAAGGGCAAATGATTCGCGACAACAAAGTAGCGTCTTGCAGCTTCAGTAAGTTTACGGGGCTCGAGAGTCCCACGCTCACATTTCCGCAGAGCGAGCGCAGCCGGCCACATCGAGGCGCAGTATGCTCTCGCGTCGCGATTGCTACGTCGCTGCTCTGCCTACAGTGATGACATGTGCACTGGCAGTCGAAGCAACCCTCTCGAGACTTCACTCGGGTTTAATATATGACTTTATAGCCCGATAGACTCTCGTAAAACTGAAAGTCACTTCGGTTGCGGCGTAAACGCCGGTTTTATGTTTGTTGAAACCTGCATCGACAATCACTAAATATGCACAGAAACATTAAGTATAAAAAATAGACCTCGCAGAAAGAAATACACACATGGCAGGGGCACGGACCAAGAGAAGACGTTAACGCTACGTATACATACAAAATACATTGGAAAAGACAAAAATACCTAAATCTAAAAAAACGAAATTAAGTTGTCAACGCCGAGCTAAGGCAATGCGAAGAGAGAGCAGCCGGCAAAAAACTGCAATAGTCCTATAGGCAGCTAAGGACGTATTTGTGATCGCGGTTATAAAGCGCCGGCGACGTACGCTCCATGAAGTTCGCTAAATGAAATTCTCGCCTGAGCGAGCTCATGAATGACTCTTTTCCAATTTCCTACCTCTGCAATGCAAAAAAGAGGGTCGCGGGTCTATAGCATAGGTGACACAAATATTGATAAGCCATTGGCTATGGCAGTACAATACTGACCAGCCTATACCAAGACATCGCCTATATTGTAAAATATCTTGGCTTTCACAGATTAATATTAACCAGCTTAAGTTAACGTATATTCAATATCGGAAAACCATTGACTCTGAGAGTCCAATATTCTACAGGTTATGCCGGCGTATATTCAATATAGGAAAGCTATTGGCTTTGACAGTCCAATATTGGACAGCTCATGCCGGCATATAGCCAATATCATAAAGCCAGTGGCTCCGACAGTCCAACATTGGACAACTTATGCCGGCATATATCCAATATTGGAAAGCTATTGGCTTTGACAGTCCAATGTTGAACAGCCTATGCCAACGTATCACCAATATTGGAAAACCATTGGCTTTGATAGTCCATTATTGTCCAATGTGTTTCCAATATTGGGAAAAATATGGCTCAGTTGGGCCATTGTGGGGCCATTCTTTGCCACATCAAATCCAATGTTGGCTCAATACTGTGTGCTGCCTGGGAACACTTTCACGAAAGCACATCCTGGCGGGAACAGCGTAGGCATCATTATGAAGCCTCGCCTTCCGTGAGCGCCATAAACTGTGGAGGCCCATGAGCATTATCAGAACAAAAGGCACCCTCTCGTCCTTGTCTATTGCCAAGAAGCGAATATCATGCTGATCTAAAGGAAAATTGTTACACATAGTTCATTGAAGTACGTCCCAAAAGGTGACTCCCTCCTAACAATGCAGTAAAACATGCTCAATTGTCTCGGGGTTTGGCAACTGTAACAGATGGTTCCCCAGGAAGCGGAAATTCCATTTTCTTCTAATTATATTCTTACGGACAACGTGCCTGTGTGAACTTTAAAAAAGAACCTCTTGACCCCTGGTTGAACAGGTATCCGCTTCACTCTTAAATCCCGAATTACGGCACCAACGTTAAAACAAAATCCAAAATTAAAAAAAATATATATATATATATTGCCGCGCGCGCCGCTGAGCGACCGCGTACGTGACCGAATGTTTACCGTGCTTGGTAGTCGCGCGGAAGATCTGGGTTCGATTCCAGGCAGCGGAATGTTCTTTTATTTATTCTTTTTTCTTGGCATTCTCGCAAAATCGAGAATCTTTTTGTCGGGTCGAGTTACGATTCTTCTACGCGCCGAACGTTATAAGCCGAATGTTCCAGAGACCCACGCGGCTGCAAAAGGTGCTCCGAGTGGCAAGCCGGAGTGAATCTCGCCCCGGCATTCGATCCTGGAGCTACGCCGACTTCTAAGCCCGTGACCTTCTGTTTCTTTTTGGGGGGCGAAGCTCCTTAGGGTCTAGCCTTGTCCGGCGTCCGTGCTCACATCGATTGCCATCCCATCTGTCTTCTTAAAAAAAGAAATATTGTTTGCGCAGTAGACAGGATGCGATCCTGTGCGGGGAGACCCCAATGGATTTCTAGTCCATCACCTTAACCACTCGGCCACGACTGCGGGACGAGTAATGGGCTCTGAGATGTGGTAGTAACTCAAGAGCTAGCTGGGGATGTCATGGATGAAACGTTGCATGTAGCCGCTCAACGTCTATACAGGAGAAGACGCTGCGGTCAAATGCGTATATAATGTCGTTAAACTTTGCGTGCATTGGCTCAACGTCTATAGACGAGAGGGCGCTGCGGTCAAATGCTCGAATGCCTATATAACCACGTTCCATACCACACATTCTCTTTCTGACATGGGCCGTTGACTTAAGCAGTGGAGATGCATTCCCACGGCTTCTAGCGTAGAAAAACCACTGGCTCTTCATTTCACCGACCATAAAGCACTAATGATGAAGTCGAAACGGCAACCCGAAACTCAGCACTACCTACGAGCAATAAAAAAATCAGCACCATCAGCACTACCTATGAACAAAATCAGTATCATCAGCACCACCGGAGCTTCGCTCCCACCAACATCATTCACCACGTGGAGATGCGGTCATTTTTTTTTTGTTGTATTTTTTGGCACAAGTTCACTACATTGAACGTTTTAGTTTCCATTGTTATCCTTGGTTTCGTCACCTCGTCATTCGTGATATTTTGGTGGAAGTGCGGGGTAACGCATGTCCCTGAAGCGTACACCTCCGAGGGCCCCCAGTGCAAGTCCGACATCAATCAAACGAAGGCTCAACGAAGACACTACCGAGAGCTGAGTAAGTCGCCGCACCCAAGGCCTACAACCACAATGCGGACTTCTCCCAACCAAAACCATGCAGCCAAGAATGCCGACGATGGACAACCAGTCGTCGCAGACCCCGACCGCCGCCGCCGTTGTCTTACTGCCCGTCGCCCAGCGAACCCCGACGACCTTCCATGGCGAGACCCACGATGACGTGGAGGACTGGCTTCTGCACTATGAACGTGTAGCCCGCCATAATAGATGGACCACTGAGCCGCGCTTTTAAAACCTCTACTTCTTTTTGGATGGTACCGCGAGGCAGTTGTTCAAAAACCACAAGGCTTCATCTTCGTCGTGGGACGCCTGTATCGCCGGCCTGAATGAGACATTCACAAACCAGACATGTCGACAGCGAGCGGAAGACCTCTTGCAATTAAGGACTCAAATGACCAACAAAACGGTATCAAGCTTCGTTGAAGACGTCGTCCGCCTGAGCAGCCGCGCCGACCCTCAGTCCACCGAGACGAAGCAGCTGCGCATCCTGATGAGAGGCGTGAAAAGTGACATCTTCGGCGGCCTTGTTCGCCACCCACCAACTAATGTCAATGAATTCGTTGCCAAAGCAACTAACATCGAGTGTGCCCTGTCGACCCGAGCCAGCCACTACAATCAACTCGCCGGCACGTCTGCTGCTTCGACTCTGGCATCTTCCCGATTCGACGAGGACGGCATCGGCGCTGACAGTCTTCGAAAAATTCTCCGCGACATCGTCCAGAAAAAGCTCCGCAAAACTTTACCCTCCGCTGACCTCCCCGCCTCGATCTCCATCGCAGAGGTCGAGCGGGAAGAAGTCCAGAGAGCCACCCAACCAGAGGCTCCCGTCAGCGTGGCAGTCCCCGAGGAACCCACGCTAACACACACCGCCACGGCTCGACAAAGCAGCATACTGCATCATCAGCAAGCAATCACTGCTCGAAAGTCCCACTCTCATACTTTAGCAGAGCAAACACGCTCAGCCAGGTCGAAGCGCAGTCGGCTCTCGCGTCACGATTGCTGCGTCGTTGCTCTGCCTACACTGATGACATGCGTACTGGCACAGTTCTCTCAAGACTTCATGCACGTCAAACACACGAGCATATAGAGCGATAGGGTGTCGTGACAACTGTAGTGCTTACATCAAAATGGGCGTAAGCAGCGGTCTAACGTCCTTCGAAGCCCGCTTCGAGACCGACGAAATAGACACAAAATCACATGGTAGCAGTCGAAAAAATGTATAATTAATATCGCTAGGCGCTGCTTTTCTAATAATATTTTTTCTCTCTCTTTCCATTAGCTGAAAGCTTGGTAGAAGGAGAGCCCTCGCCGAACCAATGAACCGTAGAGTCTTCATCATGATAATGCAATTCAAAGGTGCCAACGAGCTAGACAAGAATAACGATA